AAGGAATTCCTAGTTTCTAGTTGCTTAGTCTAAGTCTTTGTATGGCATGAAGTGGTTAGCTATTAGTATTTATTTCGCATTGTTTAGGTAGTGAAAATTTATATACACAACACTATTGGATGTTTTCATGATCATGCTCATCACTTGTTCAAGATTAGTTTTTGGCCATTCTCTAGTCAGATTATCATTCTAATTCGACAGTATATGCATTCATTGTTTATCTTCTATGGCTTTTCGTTGTTTTTAGATCTAAAGGATATCACTTTAGTGCTTGGTTTTCCTTCGAAGCTAAATTGGTTATTGTTTATTGATAAATGATTTGTAAAGTTGCTTCAATTCATAGCTTGTTCCGTTGCTACTTTGCCTCATGCACTAATTCATGTCGTTTGCTTGCATGTGAACCTCTTTACGAGTCTATTTCGGACTCCATTTCGCTATTTACATTTCCGGGGAGCCATGGATGCTCAGAAATTTCTATCGAGTCAATCTTTCCGAGGCGTGATACATAAAGACTAGATTTTACGGAGATTGAAGAAATTTGAAGAAAGCAAATCAGAAGACCCTTTTTATATATATATATTTATTTTCGCATTTCTTTTGTAATGGGCATAAGCCCTTGTTGTTTTACTTTCTCGTACTCTATTTAGTATGTTTAAACTAGGACAGGTACAAATGGGTTTAAAAAAAACCCAAAAAGCAGGTGGGTTCAAGTTTCGGCCAAGGCGAACAGCATCCGAATCTTGGACCCGAATCTCTCTCTCTCTCTCTCTTTCTCTCTCTTTATTATTTGCTTATGTTGTCTTTTGGTTTTGAATGTCGTACAGTCTAGGATTAGAAACTCCAAACTCCACCGAATGCCTTTTACTTTATCGAAATTAAAACGTAAAATTGAAACTTTAAAGATAGATGTTTAAGTTTGAGTGAAAAGTTTAAAAGGTTTAACTTTAACGGAATCTTAAAACGATAAGTGTGCAAAACTTGTAACTTGTTTAGATGAAGCTTTAAAGGAGTTTAACTTCGGAATAGATTCGCAAATTACAAGATAAATAACAAATGTTTCAAATCTGTAAAGTTTGGCTAAGAAATTTTTGATAGAGTTTAAACTTCGATCGCAAAAGTTAAAACAAAAATAGTCAAATAGTTAGTCGCCGGAAAACCGTATTTAACGGAGTGTCTTAGGTGCTTTAAACACCATTCTAAGACACTAATATGAATCTCGAACCCCCTAAAAAATGTTTCAAAACAATTTTTTCTGTTTAAGTTGTTTAGAAACAAAGTTTTTTCTTGATTTTTCTTAAAAATTAAGTGGCGACTCCTAAAAAATACCTTAAAATAAAACGAACTCTTTTCGAAACCAATAAATTTTCGATAAAACAGAAATGGCGACTCCGCTGGGGACTGGAGAATTCTAACCTTAAGACTAACTCTATTTGACTAACTTGTTTAATTGTTTAATTTTCTTTAGTTTTAGAAGTTGCATTTTCATGGCATAAATTCCGCCAAACGGCAAATAGTTGCATTAGAAAACGGAAGTTATGCTGCTTACCGTGACTTTCTTCAGAAAAACCCAAGAAGTCATTTGGGAGTATCGAATAAATAGTCGGAATGCGGTCATCCGACGTTATTCGATAGCTCCACCCCGATGTTTGTTCGACTCGGGTAACCGTCTATTTGAAAACAATTCTAGAAAAGCCTAAGTTAGAGCGAAACCAAAACCAAAATTAGGCATCAGCCTAGGACGACTTAATACCCAAGGCGTATTAAGTCTATTTTAGTAAAAAACCACCAAAATCGCGTCTAAGGTCTTCGACCTCACGACGTATCATGTTATTTGACATTCGAAAGTGTATGTGTGAAAAACCAATTTAGGGATAGGGGAAAGTCTAACGGGTTTCTGTTTTGCAGATATGGACCGCTTCCCGAAATTCAACATGGTCATCTCCGTGCCACCCCAACTAACAATGTGGCACAACGACTTAGACGGAGATCATAGGCGGACTCTCAACAAGTATGTAGGGGCCTTGACCGAGCTAATCAACATGGACAGTTGGCCAGAGTTGATAGAGGTACTCTCGGGGTACTGGGACAGCCAAAGAATGGTCTTCCGTTTTGGAATGGCCGAAATCACCCCTACATTGGAAGAAACAAGAGATTGCATAGACACTGTGGGCACGGGTCTAGAAAGAAGAGTCCGAAAACAAGAGGACGTGTTTATCCCCAACAAACCTTCCGTTGAGAACATCTCGGATTGGTTAGGATTAAGAAAGGATTTCACTCATTGGTGTCAAGATTCCCACATAATGTTCAGAGATCTCTACGTCAGATTTGGACACACGAGTTTCTATGCCGCGTATAATCGGGAATTTAAGATTTCTTACAGGGAATGGAACGAGCTCCGCCCGTTGGCATTTGCCATAGCTTTGTTGGGAACGATGGTCTTCCCGCACGGCCCGAGCCTGAGCATCAACACCAGAGTCATAACACTCGTCCAGACGCTGTTCAAAGGGTACGAGAATCAAGGGATGACAAAGTACTATTCCGTAGCCCCGGTCATATTGTCAGATATATATCGCGCTTTGGGTAAGTGCAAAGAGGGACATCGGTACTTCCAAGGTTGTAATCTGCTCATCCAATGGTGGATTCTCAGCCACTTGGCGAAGGGTGCCAGAACTCGAGAACTGCACACTCTCGACAACAAGAACACCCTCAAGGACTTGAACGACTTGTTATTCTGGGCAAACATGAACAATCGGAAAACGAGAGGGAGATGGGCCCAAATTTTCTCCGAGTTGAGAGAAGAGGACCTCCAATGGATGCTCGACTACTTCATATCCAAAGAAGTTGTCGTAGAAAGTCGAAGATGTGTCGTGCTTCCTCTACCTGGCATTCGAGGAATTCGCCCTTACGCGCCATTCCGAGTCTTGCGACAGTTTGGAAGGAGGCACACTGTGCCTAGAGAAGCGCATTATACCGCTTATGTGTACGATATTGGGGACAACAGGGTGGACGACGTTACAGAGATGCTCAGAGAATGGAAGAACGCCAGGCGTATGGGCAAAGACAGTATCGCCCCTGACCGATTCAACGCTGGATGTGACGAGGGCTACAAAGCATGGTTGAAGAGGGATATACAAAACATCTCCTTTCAAATTCCGCGTAGCTTTCGCAGTGTGACAGACAAAGAGGCCAAAGCAGAGGCCGAATTGCGAGAGTTAAAGGAAGAAGCTAATGAGGTCTACGCCAAGTTCGTAGAGAATCAAGACGCACTCAAGAGGGCAACTCGAGAGATCGAGAGACTGAAGCAAGGGTATGAAGAGTTCGACAACTGGATCCAGTAGAAAATTGAGAGGATGCGATACGAGAGCCTGGAAGAGAAAGGGCGTCTGGGCGAAGGCTTTCTGTTGATGCTGAGGTACATGTTCCAACAACACAAATACCAGAAAGACGACGACGGAGCGGGATCGTCCGGAGCAGCATAGTGGATATCGCCCCTGCGCGGGTTTTTTTCCTTGTTGTATTTGCATTACTTTAGCCCCTGCGTGGACCTGATATTATCACACTTTCTAAATAGCCCCTGCGTGAGTTCGTTTATTTCCCTTTAAAACATTTCACTCCTTGTTAAATATTATTTTGGGGGGAATCACTTGACTGGTTTAAATTCACACGTACATCATTCGAATGCGTTAGGCCTACCCTTGGCACAAAAAGGGTCCCCATGCATGATTAGGACGCGTTATTTATGTGCAGTTAAATGCTTATGTGTTACGTTGCTTTGAATGAGGATATTGTAAACCCACTCCTAGCTAAAATCCCAAAGAGTATACAGAAGCTACTATCACAAATGTCCGACCAAAATCCCCGAGTCTCAAGTTTCTCACGCAAAATCCATCTCCCACCACAAATCCTAAATACCGCTTTATCGTCTCAGGAAAGGTGAATCACCGCTATGGAAAAGGGCAAGAACGTCCAGACGGAGCTCACTGAGAAGGAAATGCGAAGAAAAATCGAGCGAGTTACTCGAGAAACTCAGAAGATTAAAGAGGAAGGGCTCAAGATAGAAATGACCACGGCAATCTACAAAGCTGCGGTCAGGACTTTGGATGAAGATCTGGCGTCGCAGATGAGAAGAAAGAAGGAGGTTGAGATGGAAACAGAAAGCCTAAGGAAAAGGTTGAACTTGCTTCGTTTGGAGATAAGCGAAGGAAAGGCGAGAGAGGCGAAGATAGATATTGAGACTGCCGTGTTACTGGCCAGAAGTGCGGCGCTCGACGAGGAAGTGGCAACCCATAGCAACCTAAAGGGCGGAAAATACCTCGCCCGTGATTAGGGAGCAGATAACAGTGGCCCCGACCGTGAAGTAATTGAGGAGGACGACGAGGAGGAAATCGTCTATAAGCCTCCATTCCCGAATGTTTGAAAGGAATGACGCAGCCACGAGACGAGAAATCGCCAAATGTTGTCTTCTAAAATTTCAATGTTGTTTTTCAATTCCCTTGTAATCGCGGTGAAAGAATGAATGAAAAATTCTCATCTCAAAATCCAAACTACGTTGGGCCTGAATTCTCTCCGTGAGATACGTAGGCAGCCTTCCCGGCCCGGCCCCTATCACAGAAATTTTCATTCTCCTCCATGTTTCGGAGATGCGAAGATGAGATCAACGGACGTCGAAAAGCAGCTTCAAGAAGACCATAGCTCAACGTGATTCATCTTTCCCGAGATGACGTCGAAACAAACAAATTCCTGTTTGTTCAAAATATATTTCCGTCCTTATTCGTGGGTTAAGATATCCTCAAACAAAGCGACCTGTGTGTTTATCTGTTTTATGTGCGATATTATGCATTTTGTACTCCAGATATGCACTAACAAATTTGCCTTTGAGTTGTTTTTACCTCTCAGGTACCTCTTACTGATCTGTGTCGATAAAGCTGGCAGATCACCACTACTTCACCAGATCAAAAGGTCACGCCGATTCCTTCCCCGGATCAAACGCAAATACAGACATGGGCGACAACAATGAACAAATCAGCCTCATAGATGTCGTGGTGGCTCAGCCAACTGTGGCAGAGCAGAATGAGCTTATTACGCAGTTGATGCAGCAAATAGTTGACATGAGGGTAGAGATGCAACGGAGGCAAGACACCCCTCCGCCCGGATTCGGCCCCAACTTTCTCGACGCAAGACCCCCTACATACTTCCCCTCGTCCAGCTCGGATCCTACTCAGCAACGTCCATCGACACCCGTGCACAACCCGTCTGGGGTAGACATGACAACCCAAAACCCCCAATACGCGTCGGTCTCCTATCAAACTCCCTCCTCACTTCCAAACAATCCTCCGCAAATGCCACCACATCCCCAAGATACTCAAACAGCCCCACTACCCCAAAATCAAACCCAAAATCCCACCGCCTTCAATTCCCAAACACCACACCCCCACTTAAACAGAAATACCAATCCCCAAAATCATCCGCAAAACTATCAAACCGCACAGAATGTCCCAAGCCTTTCCATAGCTGCACCTCTCCCCAAAAGAACTACTTTCCAAGTCCCTGTCCCGACCGAGCATGAGGTGCACGGCTCCGAGTTGGACCATTATGAAGAGCAAGAAAGAGAGTGGAGAGCGAGGGAAGAAGCGAAGGTAGACATAAAGGAAGAGATCAAGAGGGCGATGAGAGAATTGCAATGTACTCTAGACGTCGCCGGGTTAAGCTACGCAGAACTATGCATCCACCCAGACTTGAACCTACCTGAAGGGTTCAAGATCCCGAAGTTTGATACCTTCGGAGGGGTGGGCGACCCCATGGCACACCTGAGAGCATACTGTGACCAACTCGTGGGAGTTGGTAAAGATAAAGCCTTGCTGTTGAGGTTATTCAGCCGGAGCCTGTGCGGTGAAGCCCTGGAATGGTTCACGTCACATGAGACTTGACAGTGGCCCAGTTGGAGTGCACTGGCTAAGGATTTCATCGACAGATTTGCATATAACGTCGAGATAGTTCCAGATCGGTACTCCTTGGAGAAGATGAAGCAGAAGCCCACAGAAAGCTATCGAGAATTCGCGTACAGGTGGAGGAAAGAGGCAGCAAGGGTGAGGCCTCCGATGACAGAAAAAGAGATTGTGGAGGTGTTCGTGCGGGTGCAGGAGCCCGAGTATTATGACAGGATCATCTTGTTAATCGGCGCCAAGTTTGCCGAAATAGTCAAAGTGGGCGAGACTATTGAAGATGGCCTGAAGTCGGGGAAGATAGCCCGAGTGTCTGCATCGCCTGGATCTTCCGGACTGGTAAGGAAGAAAAGAGAGGAGGTTAACGCTATCTCGCACGGGGGAAGAAAAATCCCCAGAAACTTACCACGTCCCCAAGGCCGCTCCAATCCTCCATCAAAGCCTCATCGAGCCTACCATCCACACGCAAGTCACTCCGGCCACTACAATGCTGCCCCCCATTATCCAGATGCCCATATTGTGTCGTATCAAAATCCACCCCCGATTCCCCAAAATCTTCCCTCCACATATCCAAACTACCCCCAAGCTTATCAAGTCCCTCCCCATTACCAAAATGTCGCTCCTAGCTGCGCTAATGTACAACCAAGCTATCGAGCACCGTCCCCCGCATATCAAATACAAACCCCACCATATCAAAACCCCCATCCGAATTACCGAGCCCCAATGCCAAACTACCAAACAAATCCCCATCCCAGAGCCCAGGCTCCACGACCAAATGCCTGCAGTTATCAACAAGTCCCTCCCCCACAGCAGGGCGGGTATGATCCCCCTCGCCCCAGGTCTGAGAAGAAGCCCTCCAGAAGCTTCACCGTGTTGGCTGAAAATAGAACTAAATTGTTCGAAAGATTATCCGCGGCCGGATACATCCACCCTGTGGGCCCCAAGCCCGTGGATGTCAATTCCAGATTCTACAGACCGGAGCAGAGATGTGCTTACCATTCCAACAGTGTTGGACATGATACAGAAGATTGTATCAATCTCAAGCACAAGATCCAGGACTTGATTGACCAGGAAGTGGTCTCTCTTCAGCCCGCGGCGCCAAACGTCAACACGAATCCGTTGCCAAATCATGGGGGTGGAAACATCAACATGATAGAAACTGACGAAGATGAGCGTGAAGCCAAGAGAATTACTCCTTTTGTTCAGGAAGAGTTGGAGAGGGTTGTCGCTTCTTTGAGCGTCAGGGAGAAAGGAGAGTTTGTCATTCTGACACCTGCAAAGGCTATTGCCTTGGTGCCCGCAAAGACTCTCACCAAGCCCAAGTCCGTTATAGAAACGGTCGTGGCTCAGGGCATGACTAGATCTGGAAGATGTTACACTCCTGATGAGCTTACTCTCGGAGGACAAAAGAAAGATCATGCCAAGAGACCGATCAGCGAAGCAGAAGCTGAGGAGTTCTGGAGGAGAATGCAACCCAAAGACTACTCCATCGTCAAGCACTTGGAGAAAACTCCAGCCCAAATTTCGGTGTGGGCCCTGCTGATGATCTCCTGGTCCTACAGACAGGCTTTGATGAAAGCCCTGGATGACACATATGTGCCCTCGGGTACGAGCAGCGACAATGTAGCTGCTATGATTCACCGGGTCATTCGGGGACACCGTATCAGTTTCTGCGACGATGAACTGCCGGCCGAAGGGAGGGCCCACAACAAAGCTCTACACATCACCGTGATATGTCACAGAAAGGTCATCAACCGTGTTCTGGTAGACAACGGATCTGGTTTGAACATATGCCCCCTGTCCACATTGAAGCAGCTGAGGTTTGACCTCGGAAAGTGAGAGCAAAACCAGGTCAATGTGAGAGCATTCGATGGTGTGCAGAGAGACACGTTGGGAGTTGTGAACCTGACCATCCAAATGGGCCCCACAGAGTTCGAGGCGAAGTTCCAGGTGTTGGACATCACACCAGTTATAACCTTCTGTTGGGAAGGCCATTCATCCACGCGGCTGGGGCCGTCCCCTCCACTCTCCACCAAATGATAAAACTGGTGTGGAAAAATGAAGAACTGGTGATTCATGGTGAAAAGGGTCAATCGGGAAGGCAAGTGCCAGTCTCGGACGAGACACCGCAAGGTTCGGACTTCTACACGGTGGAGTTGGTAAATGCCACCGATGAGGGCTTGGCCCCGCAGACTCCCATGCCGGTCGTGTACAAAATGATCGCCACGGTAATGCTGCAGAGCAGATTCGAACCAGGTTTCGAATTAGGAAGAAATGCGCAAGGGATCATCGAGCCAGTTCCGGTCCTTGCTACAGGATCAAGTTATGGTTTGGGGTACATCCCCACAGATGATGATATGAAGATGAAGAGGAAAAGGGATCAAGGGTTGACTAAGCCGATCCCGCATCTCTATCAATCCTTTCCAGTCCGGGAGCGTGCAGAGCCTGAAGACGATGGGGAAGGGATCTGTGACCTTTTCAAGGAGATCAATGCCATCATCGAGGAAGAGGCTGAGCCAGCTGGCATTCGTGACGCTGAACCAGGGGAGATGCTGCTGAATTGGACGTCCACGCCAATCCTGATGTCCCGAACTCTGTGTAACGTAAGTTACAAACCTGCCAATATCATGTCATGTCATGGGCTAAATGAGCAAAACGAGGAAAATGACGACGACGTCGATGACCATGACGAGGAAAATGGGGAACCGGACTATGTGGGCGAAGAATTTCAACACTTCAAGAACCAACATAAATCGAACCTGGAGGAAACAGAGACGGTGAATTTGGGCGATTCACAATATGCCAAAGAGGTTAAGATCAGCACTCATTTGAGTGACACTCAGAAGGAGATCCTCGTTCGCCTGCTTGCCGAATACCATGATGTGCTCATTTGGGAAGTCGGTGACATGTAGGGGTTGAGTACTGATGTCGTGTCTCATAAGCTACCTATCAATCCAGGGTTCGAACCGGTGAAGCAAAAGACTCAAAAGTTCAAGCCTGAATTGAGTCTGAAGATTAAAGAGGAAATCACCAAGCAGATAGAGTCCCGATTGGTAGAAGTGACACTATATCCCACCTGGTTGGCGAATGTCGTTCCGGTCGCCAAGAAAGATGGAAAAATCAGGATTTGTGTTGATTACAGAGATCTCAACAAGGCTAGTCCAAAGGATAATTTCCCGTTGCCAAATATCCATATTCTGATTGACAACTGTGCCAAACATGAGATGCAGCCATTTGTGGATTGCTACGCGGGTTATCACCAGATTTTGATGGATGAAGAAGACGCGGAGAAAACGGCCTTCATCACACCTTAGGGGGTATATCACTACAGGGTGATGCCGTTTGGGCTCAAAAATGCCGGTGCCACTTACATGAGAGCCATGACGACGATCTTTCATGACATGATTCACAAGGAGATTGAAGTGTACGTGGACGACGTCATAATTAAATCCCGTAAGAGTTCGGATCATGTGACACACCTGAGGAAATTCTTTGAACGTTTGTGTCGGTACAACTTGAAACTAAATCCCGCCAAATGTGCTTTTGGAGTCCCAGCTGGGAAGTTGTTGGGGTTTATAGTCAGCAGAAGAGGTATTGAGCTCGACCCTTCCAAGATCAAAGCAATTCAAGAGTTACCTCCGCCGAAAACGAGAAAAGAGGTGATGAGTTTCTTAGGGAGGTTAAACTATATCAGCCGGTTTATAGCACAATCGACAGTGGTGTGTGAGCCTATTTTTAAGTTGCTGAAGAAAGACGCCCCGACTAAATGGACTGAGGAGTGCCAGACCGCTTTCGACGCTATCAAGAGCTATTTGTCTAACCCACCAGTATTGGTTCCTCCGCGAGAAGGGAGTCCTTTGTTGCTATATTTGTCTGTTTCAGATAACGACTTTGGATGTGTACTTGGTCAACACGACGAGAAAGGGAAGAAGGAAAGGGATATCTACTACATCAGTAAGAAATTTACTCCGTACGAGTCTCGCTACACTTTACTGGAGAGAACATGCTGTGCTCTGACGTGGCTTGCCCAGAAGCTGAGACACTATTTGTCGTCATATACTACATATCTTATCTCCAGAATGGACCCATTGAAGTACATTTTCAAGAAAGCGATGCCGACCGGGAAGTTAGCTAAATGGGAAATGCTGTTGAGTGAGTTTGATATCTTGTATGTGACTCAGAAGGCAATAAAGGCACAAGCTTTGGCTGATCATCTCGCGGAAAACCCCGTTGACGAAGAATATGAACCACTTAGGACGTATTTTCACGATGAAGAGGTGTCATTTGTGGGTGAAGATATCTCTGAACCTTATCCAGGTTGGAGATTATTCTTTGACGGAGCGGCGAATCACCAGGGTAAAGGTGTTGGAGCGGTCTTAGTATCAGAATCTGGTCAACATTATCCTATGGCAGCTAAACTGCGATTCAACTGCACAAACAACATGGCTGAGTACGAAGCTTGCATTCTCGGTTTGAAAATGGCCATTGACATGAACGTCTACGAGCTACTGGTTATTGGAGATTCAGACCTCCTGATTCATCAGGTCCAAGGAGAATGGGCTGCGAAGAACCCAAAAATTGTACCTTACGTACAGTACGTCCAAAATCTGTGCAAAAGGTTCCGCAAGATTGAGTTCAAACATACTCCCAGAATACAGAATGAACTAGCTGATGCTCTCGCAACCATCGCTTCAATGATCAAACATCCGGATACTAATTACATCGACCCGCTGGATATAGACTTGAAGGAACATCCAGTCCATTGTTCGCACGTGGAATCAGAACCAGATGGTTTGCCTTAGTATTTTGACATAAAGAGATACCTGGAGTCTGGGACATATCCAGAAGATGCCACATCTAATCAAAAGAAGTCGATACGTTGTATGGCTCTCAATTTCTTTCTGAATGGAGAAGTCTTGTATAGGAGGACTCCAGATTTGGGTCTTTTAAGATGTGTAGATGCTGCTGAAGCTGTGAGGCTTATTGAACAGATACATGCTGGAGTTTGTGGTACACATATGAACGGGCTTACTTTAGCAAGAAAGGTTCTTCGAGCTGGTTATTTCTGGATGACTATGGAGAATGACTGTTGCAAATTCGTGCAAAAATGCCACAAATGTCAAGTGCACGGCGATTTGATACGGGTGACACCTCACGAACTTAATGCTATGAGTTCACCTTGGCCATTTGTAGCTTGGGGAATGGATGTCATCGGTCCTATAGAGCCAACCGCTTCTAATGGACACAGATTCATTTTGGTTGCCATCGATTATTTCACCAAGTGGGTGGAAGCAGCCTCTTACAAATCGGTAACCAAGAAAGTGGTGGCCGACTTTGTCCGCAACAATCTGATATGCCGATTTGGAGTTCCAGAATCCATCATCACTAATAACGGTGCAAATCTCAACAGTTATCTGATGAAAGAGATATGTGAACAATTTAAGATTATTCACCGAAGGTCCACTGCTTATCGCCCTCAAATGAACGGAGCTGTAGAGGCCGCCAACAAGAACATCAAGAAGATTCTGAGGAAAATGATTGATAAGCAGCGGGGTTGGCATGAAATGTTGCCATATGCTCTACTGGGTTATCGAACGACGGTCAGAACATCAACTGGGGCTACTCCATACTTGCTAGTATACGGAACAGAAGCAGTCGTACCTGTTGAAGTCGAGATACCGTCACTGAGGATCATCCAAGAAGCTGAGCTAAGTAATGCTGAGTGGGTTAGCAAACGGATTGATCAACTAGCTTTGATTGATGAGAAGAGGATGGTTGCTGTTTGCCATGGCCAGTTGTATAGACAAAGAATGACTCGCGCTTTTCACAAAAGAGTAAGAGCCAGAAATTTTGAAGTTGGTCAGTTGGTTCTTAAGCGTATTTTTCCTCATCAAGACGAGTACAAAGGAAAGTTCGCACCGAACTGGCAAGGTCCTTACATGGTTCGCAAAGTACTATCTGGAGGTGCTTTAGTCTTGTCAGAGATGGATGGCGCTGTATGGCCCAAGCCTATCAACTCAGATGCTGTCAAGAGATATTACGCGTGAAGTTCGTTTTGCATTTTCCATCATTTACTAGTAATCTTCTGTTTGCTTGTATTTGTTCGAATTTGAATTCTTATCGCTCCTGTAACGAACTACGTCTGACCTGAATTCTCGAGCACGAGATACGTAGGCGGCCTATGTCGGCTTCGGTCACCCCATTTACCCCCTTTAATTATTTTCCTTGTATTTGAACTACGTTCGACCTGAATTCTCAAGAATGAGATACGTAGGCGGCCTTTGTCGGCCTCGGTCGGTTTCTTTGTAAATTTTATTCTTGTTAACCTTTAAGGGGAACTACGTTTGACCTGATTCCTGCCTCAACGAGATACGTAGGCGCCACAAGGGCTCGGTCATATCTCTCGTAAGATTTTTATTTCCCTTCTACAATAAAAACTGGGACAGAATTTTTGAGAGGGACTCAAAAATTCTCCAGAAGAAGTCTCCTCTTCAGCAAGCCAAACTAGAGACATTTCAAAATTTGCGACTGGGACAGAATTTTTTGAGAAGATCTCAAAAATTCCGCGACCTGTTCGGTCACAATGGAAAGACAAACAAGATACTAAACTGGGATAGAAATTTTGAGGATGGCCTCAAAATTTCATCATGGGTCTTCCCTACAAGTCCGGAATGCCTTTATGTTCATTCAACAAGCGTCAGACTCAAAAGAGCTCGTTAAGCCTGACATGACATGACTTGGCAATGACTTTTTCAAGATACTATTTCTTAAGAATTTTTTTTTCTTGTTTCTCTTAAAAATTTCCCTTTTATATTTCATCTGTTTTGGCATAAGATATTTCCTTATCCATCAAGAGTCGAGAAATCGGAAAATCAACCGGAGACATCAAGACAAGGAGCAAAAAACCGAAGGGATCGACACAGATCAGTATGTTTAAAACTGATAATTTTTCTGTGGATGCAGGTTTATAGCTTCGCTTCGAAATCGGCCGAATTCTACCGACTGATGAATACGGAGAAGGAGAGAACTATCTCCAAAAAAACAGTGATTTTATGGAAAGCAGGAATATTGTTTGCGTCAGGATGCTTATGAATGTGTTTGTTTATTTCAAACCATTCTCAGCAATGGGAAATTTACAAAGTATCCAGTCATATTCAAAGGTGAATCAAACGGGAATCTCAGCGAAGATTTTGTGATTTCTATAAAAGGCGCTATTTGCATTGCGTTATCAAAGCAAGATGATTATTGTCGATCAAGACCATGCATTACCTCAGAAGAGACAGTTATGCAATTATTTTTTTGTCATTATCGATCAAGTCGATATATTATTTGGAGATCGTCTTACCGTTACTATTCACGGGGGCAATATAAATATTCATGCATCGCGGAATTTATACACTGAAAAATCATGCATAGCGGAATCATGCATCGTGAAATCATGAATCGCGGAAATCATGCATCGCGAGTCAATAATTATGCATGACGAGAAGATTTCATGCCTCATCAAAATTTATACATCGCGAGAAGAATTTATGCCTCGCTTGAATTCATGCATCGCGAAATCATGCATCGCGAAAATCATGCATCGCAAGTCAATAATTATGCATGACGAGAAGATTTCATGCCTCATCAAAATTTATACATCGCGAGAAGAATTTATGCCTCGCTGGAATTCATGCATCACGGAATCATGCATCGCGGAAATCATGCATCGCGAGTCAATAATTATGCATGACGAGAAGATTTCATGCCTCATCAAAATTTATGCATCGCGAGAAGACTTTATGCCTCGCTGACAATTATGTACGACGAGAAGATTTCATGCCTCGTCAAAATTTATAAATCGCGAGAAGAATTTATGCCTCGCTGAAAATCATGCATAGCGGAATCATGCATCGCGGAAATCATGCATCGCGAGTCATTAATTATGCACGACGAGAAGATTTTATGCCTCGTCAAAATTTATGCATCGCGAGAAGACTTTATGCCTCGCTGGAATTTATACATTGCGAGAAGGATTTATGCCTCGCTGGAATTCATGCATAGCGAAAATCATGCATCGCGAGTCATTAATTATGCACGACGTGAAGATTTCATGCCTCGTCAAAATTTATGCATCGCTAGAGGACTCCATACCTCGCTGAGATTTATACATCGCGAGAAGACTTCATACCTCGCTGGAATTTATGCATCACGAGAAGAATCCATGCCTCGTTTAAAATCATGTATCATGGAAATCATGCATCGCGAGTCATTAATTATGCACGATGAGAAGATTTCATGCCTCGTCAAAATTTATGCACGACGAGAAGAATTCATTCCTCGTCAAATTTGCACATCGCGAGAAGGTTTTATTCCTCGCTGAAAGTTATGCATCACGAGAAGATTCATTTCTCGCGGAAATTTACGTATCGCGGGAAGATATTCATGCCCCGCAAGAGGACGTACATGGATAAAGAAAGAGCAATACTTATCCATATGCCTCGACTGCATTCTGTTATTTCTTATAAAAGTAAACATCAATGAGAGCATCGAAGATGACAACAAAAGAAACATCAATATCGCATCAGCATTTATTTATTTATTTCGACATCAAGTATAGAGTACACTGAAGATCTATTACAAAGCACAAGGCATAAGCTTTATTTGCCGGACGTCAGACCGATCGAGTCGACGTCAATTTGAGGAGAACAGTGAAGTATCGACACGGTAAAAAGACACTGTCACCCATCCAAATTGCATTTTTTAGCTGACGACTTTTATCTCAGTCTTTGTCGAGAGCATCCAAAAGGATGAATTCTCCAAAAACCACAGGTGCGGACGACGCCAAAAGGATGCAGCACAACGTGGAACTTTTTCTTAGCAGCGAACTGGGACATAGTCCGAAGAGGAATGTCAAACTCTTAGGACGCGAGCAGAGGAGCGACTTCCACCACAATCGAACCACCCTCTCAAGGCGTGTCGGTCTTTCTTTAGTTCTGTCAGTTTCAGTCTTGCATCCAGAAGTTCCGACTTATCGGAAGCAGTTTCCGATCTGAGTGACAATGCGCCAAGAGCTTTGAAAATTATGTCTATGTAAGTTCTTACCTATGGATATGAAGAGCTCCACATTCATGGCTAAGAGGTTACAAGCCTCCTTTTCACACTCGTTAATTTGTCACTTGTCCAAAACCAAAGGTTATCTAGCACAATAGATTTCCTTTTCCACCGATCGAGTCGAACTACACACAGCCTGATTCCAACGGTTTACGGGTATGTAGGCAGATTCAATGTTGAAAACTCGGCTGTATTCTAACATTCGCCCTCGAATTCCATTCTCGAGCATTTCGATACCTTCATAATTTGGTGTCGAGGTGGCTCTTGATCCCTTCAAACCGTGCGGCAAATCAAGCTTATCGAACTACAAGTGACCTGAATTCTCATATAGCCTGAGATATGTAGGAGACCCGTGTTCAAGGGTTCGGCCATGGTTCCTAAACCCTTTGTCGAATCCTTCCTTTAAAACGAATAAGGTTGGTCAAAATTGGTTTGGTCAATTTCATTTTCCTTGAGTTGCTTGCATCAACCCAAGAAAAATGAGGGACAGTTGTTGACACCCAATTTTTGACCCACGTTGGTAAATTAGTTATCGAACTTCATGAGTTTTTCAAATTACTTAAGTTAATTAGTTTTAAATCTTGCGAATATATATATATATATATCCTAACGTTGGATAGTATATATATTATATAATTGTGTATATAGTTTGTATAATATATATATATATATACACATATTATACATATATGTATATGTATACATGTATATCCTAAGTCTACTCCTAATTTCCAGGCGGCCCATTTCTCTCCTTCTTTATATTCTCAACCCCTTTTACTCCAGCCCGACACCTAGGCCTACTCCATTTTAGACAACCATCCAATTTCCCAGCCCAACACGAATTGATCCCAAGCCAATTCTGTTAACCCAATTCCTTTCCCTACCCAACCCACTAACTTAAAATACCCACCCAATACTTGACCCGACCCAATACCCTCTCCCTTCTTCCCCTCACCCACGCCATTTCCCAGAACGGAAAACCTCCAGACACACCAGAAAACGCAGGAAAAGCAAAAAACAGACCTCCCAAAACGAAAACCTCCCCCCCCCAGACGTGACCTCTCCCTGCGTCTCTCCCTTACGCTCTCTCCCTTCCTCTATCCCCTACTCGTTTTCCCTCCCCCCACGCGATGCCCCCAACGTTCCCAGAAAAGAACGAACAATTCCCAGAAACAGAAAAAATGCAGAGAAACAGACACCCCCCGAAACGGAAATCCCTTCCCTTCACGCGACCTCATCCCCCAAGCGCGACCCCTCTCCCTCTCTCCCCACACTACTTCTGCCTCCCCCAACGTCTCTTTCTTCAACACTGTATCGTGTACAGTGCTTTTCGACAAGCAGACCTGCATTTTCGTCCTTGAGACGGGAGATGAGGACACGTCGCATCGCCTAGGACACCCAACTGATCTCGACCGTTTCTCCTTCCTTCCTCGTTCGAAATGGAGTCGAATTTGCAGGAAAAATGTGTTTCTCCTTTAAGGGAAAGGATTCGAATTTCAAATTCGAATCCGAAATGGGTCGAGAAATTCGTAATCCCTCCCTCCCTCTTCCGAAAACCCTAATATCCCCCTATATAAACCCCTTCCGTCCTCGAGAAAAGGGGTTAGAGATTTTCATCGAAAAATTCGGAAAAGCAGAACTTAGGTTGGACATTTTTTTGGTTTAAGAAATTTTCAAAGGGTTAGAAACTTTGGAGGTTTCTGAGCGTCGGAATTCTTGTGGGAAAAACTCTGAAAAAGCTTTGGTGTTTGACTTCTGCTCGTATAGAAGAACAGGGAATCTTGTGTCTAAAGGTTTAGTTTGAATTTTCGTGGTAATATTTGATTCGATTTCTACTGTTTAACCAAGAAGAACAGTTGAGAAATTTGGAGAGAGTGTTCTGTTCCTCTCTTAGCTCGCTCTAAAGAAATTCATGAACAACAGTGGACTTCACCTGCGTTCCATCCTTCTTCCCCGCCTTGTCTTGTCGTTTGGAATAGCTCGCACCCGCTCGTCATCGTCCCAGTTGCTGCTATCGAAAAGGTAAACTTCCCCTGCCTCTTACTATCTTGTCGCCTCTTTTATCAAAAAAAAATGCTTCTTCGTC